CTATCCTGACATGGGTACATAAGTGCTGAAATATCAGTGCAAAGCTGTAAGATTATCAGCGCTGCAATGGTTAGCAGTTCAAAAATAAGCCAGCTGTGGGAAGAGAATATTTTCTTTTTGCTGACCCCTAAACTAAAGGTGCTACTTTGTACCAACATGCTACAACTGGACAGGTCCTGAAAGCAGAGGACTTGGCTCAGCGAATGCCCTTAAGAGCACATCAATTTCTGTTTTCCTTTATATTACTACTTCTTACATTGTGATTACATATAAATGTGACTACACAAAAAACTGAAGTTATAATGAAACAAAAATGCCTAAAAGGAGCAGACCTAGTAATTTCCCTTAATTAATATCTAGCTTTTTTGCATTTTCCCCTTGTTTAGCTGGTGCTCTGCCTGAAGCTAGCTAGTGTTAGAACAAACTGCATGACACAATGCACCTATCTGAACAAAAGAAAAACTTAAATCCCAACAAAGCAAAAGGATTTCTGCAGGTATTTCTGTTCATTTCTAAAAGAAGCTAATTAGAAGAAAACAGCTCTTTCAGAATTAGTATGTGGTGCTGAGTATAGAATAGACACTGGGCTGTAACTGGAAGGGAATAGAAAGCTTCCTTCACTCACCACCAATGCAGTGATTTACTACCCTGGTAAATATGCTGATAGAAACTTTGCAGAATTATATTGGAGACAAATTTCTGTTTGAAATTCCACCCCAGTCCCAGGGGGTAGCAAGGGCAATGTGGAGGTCAGACCTAGGCTAACTTCACAGGCACTGGCACCACAATGCAAAACCCATCCAAATGCTCAGTTTGGGCAGCTGAAGGAGCTGTGTGTCACCCTAGAATAGAAAGCAGAGCACACTTAAGCTTACAGAATAGGTGAGAATTTCCTGTTTCCTTGGCAAATAACTCAGCATTTTTTACACCAAAACACAGATTTTCCCAATACAAAACTTCTATGTATATAATTTGTTTCCATGTTTCCCTCACTGGTATTGATGATTTTCATCAAGGCTTTCCCAGCCAAGGAAACTTTGGAGATGGGAATGACGACCACCTTCATTATGGCTGCTCATTAACTGAGGAAGGAGCTTAGCAGCAGCCACATGGCTGAAGACACACGGACTGAAGGCTTTCATCAGCTTACTCTATTTCACCTTAGCTGTAAATATCATTCTGCAGTGACTCCACAGCTGCTGCTTTCTTTTCAAATGAAACCCAGTGTGTGTTAACAATGAAAAAGCACATCTATTTAGCTAATCCTCACCTCTTCCTGAAGGCATATCATCCATGTGACAGCTGCAATTGAGCATTAGGAAGTCTTACTCCCAGGCCAAGACATCCCTCCCATTAAACAGGTTGATGGCAGCTCTGCATTAAATTCCAGCTGTGACAGCATTTTTATAGTACATAAATAAAAGTGTGTGCCAGAAATTTTATTTCAGGCCCTAAACACAATACAATGCAGGATGACATACATAAGTTTCAATTTTAACTTGTTTAACAATCCAGCCTGACAAAGATTCAACTACTTGCAGACTTCTGTACTGTTTTATACAGAGATTGGTTTAGAGATGGAAAGCAGTAATTTGTGATAATAAATCACTTCCAGATGTTACTGGAAAACAACACAGACCTTTTAAAAAATCCTGCAGTAGGTATTTCAGTACCTATGATAGTTGCACTTAAAAAGACTAGATGTTTGCACCTTTTGCTGACCAGATTTTTGCTAAATGTCACTCGGTTTATTCCTCTGTAATGTATCTTCACAACAGACACAAGTATCTTTGGGCTCAGCATTTATAGGCATGAAGTGTTATCCTTGCCAAATGTATTGGTTTCTAAAATTTCCCCATTAACAAAAAAAAATTTTCTGTTTGGGGTATTTCATGCTTTATCTCATCACCTTAAATATGTATTGTACTTAGAAGCTTTGGCAATATACTTTCAAGTGTTCTTGTGCTTATTTTTCTATTAATATAGATAACACTTATTTTCTGAGGAGAAATATAAAGTAGCTTTCAGCTTTCAAAAGGATTTTGAGCAAATTATTTGGAAGAGTCATTTAGTGCCTGACAAAACTGCAATGGGAACACAAAAATCTCGCTGGGAAAGGCCATCTCTACTCTGTGTGTGCACAGGTTCCACTCTGGTTTACAACCACCAGGCACAAGTTCTTCTTCCCTAAAACCATTGCAAGGAAAAGAACTGTTACATCATGTTCTCTTTGCTTCAGACCATAGTTGGACTTGTTGGAAAAATAAACCAGAGATTGAAAAGTACTGTGTGAGAGCTCTGACTCACTTTTGGGTGGAATCAGCAGGCATGCCACAGCTGCTGGAGTCAGGGAAAGCCCCTGGTAAAAGTACCATCTTGACTTATGGGATCACACTTTATGGAAACCTTTCCCTGAGCATTCAGCCCTCAACACAATATTGTTGTCTAGGCAAGTGAGGTTTTAGAAGCACCAAAACACTCAGCCTTCCACACACTCAGAAAACTTTCAACAACCAATACTCAAACACTCATCTTCATACTGTGGTTGGGCACCAACGGGCCTGACCGATGGTTTTTGAAAACCATGCTACTGACAAAGCTCCTGTATGCTGAAAATCTCCCCTAAAGATACCTATCAGTATCTATTTTTAATAGATATTGCAATTTCTCAGCTTTACTGTGGTTACAAAAACCCCAAACAGAAACAAACCAGAGAAGACTGTGGGACAGGGGTGGGCAGAAGTCTACATGTTTTTTTAAAAAAACACCTAGTCCAATTTTTGGTGAGTCTACTCCATTAAAAGACCACTAAAAAAATAAAACCAGACAAAAAACCCTCCCATGCGTGGTTAGTATGTCATTTCTTCAGGGGAAAGAATTTTGATCATTTACATGTAGCACATTTTAAAAGTTTTGGTTTTGTTACTTATATTACAAATTGGGTAAGAGTGTAAAATAGGTGCTATCAGCAACTCACCAGTGCAGCAATAAACCCTGCACCCATGGAAAAAGTAACCCCTCTCCCTCAAGGATGGATAACACTCAATTTCAAATATCCTGCTGTCTTAGAGGATCCTGTAAAAACCGTAAAGTTTTGAATGAATGCCAGCACTGGTACCGAGGTCAGCCAATGGCCCTGGTCCAGCTAAATGAAGGTTAATTGCCATTATTTTTAAATTCTAGAGAATATGACAGTCTGTGCAGTTTTCCATTGGGCTGAAAAGACCTCATGGGCCAGGAATTAAAAATCTGCAACTGCTTGGACAGTAATGAACTTGTAGTTTAATCCAAATAATCAAAATAATCATTGTGTGTGTCTAGATGTATTTCACCTGTGCAAGTACTGAATAGCTTGATGTATGCAGTTTTTCCTTCTCTTTCCTTCTCTTGCTCTCACCCAGTTTGAAGAATTGGCAGGATCTAGCACAGTACATTTATCTTGTTACAGATAAGACTGACCTTAAGATTTAAAAAAAAACAAAAAAAACAACCATCAGACTAATGAAACTCTAGACCACCAGACCTTGGAAAGTACCTTTTTAAAAACTGGGCCCACTTGAACAGTGAAATTTCAAACAGCATGCTTGTTTGCTTACAAAACTTAAGAGTCTGCTTTCCCTCTCCCCTTCATTCAACCATCCTTCCAGGCTTGCCCTGCAGCTCTGAAGGCTACCAGAAACACCCAGCCACGGGGCCAGAACAAAACAAGCTTCTGACAATCCCAGACGCAGCGAGTGCCAAAACGAGCACTGCTGGAGCAGGGGTAATAGCGGCGTGTTCATCGTGTGTATCTGCTGGAAACACTTGTCCCTCGAAGGGGAAGAGCTGGCAGGGAGCAGGCCCGGTGGGGACAGCAGCAGAGTGTCCCTGCACGGCGCTGACCTCGCGTCACCCACCGGCCTGGCCCGGGCTCCCGGCTTGCCTGCACGTGTGTTGTGTAACACCCTGTCCTGCGGATTCTTGGAACGTTCTTTCCAGAGAAACCAAGGCACAGGGCTCACCCCTCCACGGCCGCCTCCAAGCCAATCTCACCAGCAGCAGCAGCATCCTGCTCCTCGAGATAAACTATCAGCTTATACAAGAGTAAAGGATCCAAGCCCTGCTCGCGTGCTCTCAAATCAGGTGACCCGTGAGTCAAGGGACACAGCAATAAATTATTAGGAAAAACAAAACACTGCACTAAAAATAGCGAACACGAGCAGCACATGAAGAAGAACAGTTTTTATCCAGTCAAAGCTCAAGGCCCTCCCCAGCCTCTTTTGTATCTGGGCAAAACAAATTGACATGAGCAAAGACAGATAAACAAATAAAACCTTACTTTAGTTCCTCCTTGATGATTCACAACTATATATTTAATTAAAAGTAAACAGCAGGGGGAAAAGCCCAGAAAGCTGAGTTTTGGACCAGCAGAAAAAGCATGAAGGCCCAAAGTAAATATACAATGCAACTTCAATCAGAAAATACCAAAATTACTTTCTTTCAAGGAAAATTGCTCCAAGATGAATTCAGCTCAGATATGCCACAAGCTTCACTTCAGCTACTAACACAGTTCAGGCAACATAAGGATTTGCTTGTCAGGTTTAATAGATCTAATAAATTATTGTGAATGCTCAAGTTAAGCATCAGGTAAAAAAAAAACAAAAGCCCTTCACAAACATTCCAGAATCCAAGTGCCTGATACCCATAACTTATTTTGTCAACCCTCACATTAGCAAAACCATTATACAGAGATTTTCTACTAGAAATCAATAAAGAAAATAAATTTTGTTATTATCAAGGGACAACAATGCATAATTTTGTTGGAGGAAGAGGATTTTTTCTAAGAGATAACAAAACAGCAAGCACAGAAGAGTGGTCAAAAAGACTTAAAGTTTCCATTTAGCAATATCTGATTACATTGGCTATTACTGTAAACAGCTGGTTTTCTGCAATTGCTTATCTTCAAGAACTAATAAAAAACACATCTGAGAGATTTTTAGCACAGAACATTTTATTCTTACCATCTGAATTAGTGGCTGAAGAAAGTTCTGAATCTGGCATGGGAATCCAGACAACAAGCAACCTGCCCTCTTTATTCCCAGAAAAACATGCAAACTGGGTTCACTACACCCTCCTTGCTGGGCTGAATCCCTAGGAACCAGCATTCAGAGAATTGCTTCCAGCATGAGTTGGTTTTCCTCTTGAGCATGGAAAAATGCTTGTCTGAAATCCAAAGATTTTCCTCGGAGATAAATTCCTGCCAGTCCAAGCTGGAAGCACGCCCTGCCAGCGGGGACCTGTGGGCTGGGCACAGCCCACGAGAATGCCACCCGCCAGCCGGGCCCAGCGAGCAGATGGCACTGCCTTATCTGCTGCCCAGGCAAGAGGCAGCACTGCCCGCAGGATTTCTCATGGAATCCGTGTGAAAAAGGCACTGACAAGGTTATGCCTCACCACCACCCAGCCTTGTAAGGTACCTCTGCTCGGTGCCTAACAGGAAACCATGTTTTCCTGTTCTTTTTTGTCTCTTAAAACATTATCATTCATAACAAGAAAATTACTTGTTTTTTTCTTCTCCTTTCAAGATCCTCCATGGCTTCCCAGCATTCCTGTTGTCCCCACTCACTACTGCAGTAGAGTGGCCTGTGATTACTTTAATCACCGCTCCTTACTCCCCCTGTGTTGTCCTACACTCTTGATTAAAACGACTCTGCTTTGCAGCTTCTCCATTACGGCGATAAAGGCTCGTTAGCCTCTGGGAGCACAGTTTATCTGTCTCCATCAGTATTATCCCTTTGTCTCCACACAGCCCTCTCTTGGAAGCCATTGATTTAGCGTTTGATACTTGCATAAGGTCTGAGGTGAGGACAGTCTTTTGTTCCATGCTTGTATAATACCCAGCAAAGCACAGATACCCAAGTGTGAGTCTTAATTTGTATCACAGATAACACGTAATAATCTTCAGGAAATAACTCCATAAATTTGCTTCCCTTCTCTTTAAGTCCTCTTATGACTGAGTTACACACCTGCAGGACGAAGAAGTCCTTGATCCATCTGACACAGCAACACAAAACAGTGAAAAAACACAGCCTGAGAATATAGAGGCTTGTACAAAACTACATGAAGTGCTTCCTTCATTCTGTAAAGAAGCCACTGCTGTAGTCAAAACCCACAAGCATAGATGTATCTCACAAACACAGCAAAAACCGAGGAATCTACATGTTCTTAACAGCACTGATAAAAGAGACTTACAACAGGTTGTTCCTGCTGTATGAGAAGTGATCTGGACTCAGTTATATACACAGCTCTTGTTCATGACTTCCCAAATGAAACCCCACCCTCCAGTACTTTCAATGCCATGAAGTTTAGTCTATTACAACAATCCTTCAGATGTCTTACCCTAAAAAGAGATATTGACACTTCTGGTTTGAATTAAACTACAGTAGGTGCAGCACCCATAGAGCAACTTTGCTATAAAAATAAGACAACACTTGGGGCACTTCCAGCATCCTGCTCACTCTCCCAAGGCCAGTGCGAGTCAGAGAAGTCACATCCACCCCACCACAGGCTCCCTCTCACCTCTACCATGCCCAGGTCAAAAGCAGAGAGCTTCCTGCCTCCTGCTCCTTTCCAATGCCATTCAAGTTGCACGGGACAATTTTCATGTTTAGTTAAATGGAAAGGATTCAGAGAGATCTGCTCAGATTATAAACTTCTGCATTTAAACTGATGTTTTAACTGCTAGGCATTTTAAATTATACAGTACTTCAGACGTCTTTTGGAAAGATGTTATAGGAACTTCAATACACAAGGCCTCTAGGAATTCATATCCACTTTTTCTTCGTTTACCTTTTCTCCTTCTCCAGCTGGTTTGCTTTGCCTTTTAAAAATTGTTTTACAGTCATAAAACCAACAAGTTATCTTGAGTTTCATAAACTTTGCTAAAACTGGAGAGTAAAACGTGTTAGTAGTTTCCATGGCAGTAGTGAGGAGTTGCTGGGTCAGGATGTAGAGAACTTCTCTTGTTCTGTCTCATCATTTGCATCAGAAGTTCAGCCATCTGTTATTAACTATTTAACAACAGTCTTGCTTGTTAGCACTGGTACTTGCTATTTAAGTCTCCCCACCTTCAGCCCTTTTGAAAATCTCCTAATTAATGTGAACATTCATCTGAGGGCTCAGTTATCTTTCAGGCAGGATGACCACCATTACTTCAAGTTGGCCAATATTCTCCTTCCTCACCAAGGAAAAAGCAAACACTTATGCAGACACCAACCTCTAGAAGCAGCAGCTTTATTGTTAGACAGCAATTTGAAAAGAATTTCATCAGACAGCAGATGATGTGGCTGAACTCCAAGAGAGGCTATATCCCTCCCATTTAAGTACACTCCACTGTACATTATCTTCCCCAAGTTCCACAGCATCCTTCAATGTTCTTTATCCCAACTTAAATGAATTGCAAAAGAAAAGTTTTGTAGTTTTATTTCATAAAATAAATGAATAGCATTGATTCAACCATGTGTTACTAACAAGTAGATGCCGCCTTTTATCCTCTGAGAGAATTTGAAATGTTTGTCTACTTGCTGCACACATGAAGAAAACAAAACTTAAGTTATTCATTTCCAAGATTAGAATTCTGGAGTTAAAAGCACTTTACCTTATCTTTTACTCTGCTATCTTCATTTAAATCTGCCTGACCTAAAGAAAAATACTCTGAGTCTCATTCTAGGAAAGCAGGCCAGTCTGGTTGCTCCTCACCCATCACACCCTCAAGAAGAAAGTAGGAGGCTGTACAGTGACAAGAGGGAACAATGCATCTTACTGTTTCTAAAACTACTTCACAAAAAAAAACACCCCAAAAAGAAAAACAAAACAAACAAAAAAAAAACAAAAAACCCAAAAACCCAAGAAAACAAAAAAAACAAAACCCAAAAAGACAAAAACAAAACAAACAAACAAAAAAAAAAACCAAAAACCCAAGAAAACAAACCCCAGTACTATTAGGGGCAAGGAAGAGGCCTTCAGCAGGAAGCAGGAAGTCCTTGTTTCAGTCATTTAACACCCTAACATATGCTCAGAGCACTCTGTTCACAGGTACAGCCAGCAAAACTCAGATCCTTCAAAACTATAAAGTGGAAGAAAATTTTGAAAATACTTATGTGGAACGCAGAGAGTTGCAGCACATCAGAAGACTAAGCCACACATCCGAATAACAACACAATCTTTTCCAGGCTGGTCTGTCTTTCATGATGACAAGCAGACCAGCAGCCTGTTGTATGCACAAATAATTTCAGAGCAGCAGAACGCGGCTCAGAGACAGCACAGGCTGAGATGCCTTCTCAGACTAAAAAGATGAGAGATTTGGTAGATACAACCACACGTGCATAGGATAGATCTGATATAATACAAGGGTTTAGAGACCCAGAACAAGGACCCAGTGTCATTACTTCTGGTTCAAAAGAGAATGATGCAACTGAACAGTCTAGAAGCGCCTGAAGAGGCTTTCCTTTTAGCAGGTTCAGGAAAATTCTCCATTACAGATATTTGACTTCACATGTGAAGGATTGGAGAAATACATCCAGGCAGCTTTCTGACTATCAGACCAAATCAACTCGAGAGGCTTGGTTCAACTCCAACAAGAATGTGAACACTGATGGCAGAACTAAGCTCAAGATAAATACAGTTGTGGGGAGGAACTATTAAGCACATTTTCTGCCTATATGCAAGGCACCTACTCATGCCACTGAGCTGCGATATTTTTTTCCCCAGAATAACTGAAAAACAAGAAAATGAGAAACAAACATAAGAGAGCAAATGCACTGATAATAATAAAGCTTGTAAAGAGCATTAACAGGGAGAAAAGATAGAAACACTCAAGAATTCAATAATTTTATTTTAATGGACAAGACATTAAACAGTATAGTACGCAGGTTAAGTAGAAGCTGATATTCCTATAACTTTATTACAACATCATGTCAGTTAGAAATCACACCTACAAGCTGAAAACTTCTGTAGCACTGCTGCTAGAACACAACTATCAGGGTAATTTAAAAAGCACACAGGAAAAAAAAGCACAGGACTTGTTAGGAAGTGTCCTCAGGTGAGCAACGCAGATTAAGAATTCCATTATTTTATCTGAAATACAGAAAAAGACTAAACAAAAAGCCCAGAGCAAACTAGTTTCATAACATCTGACCTCTTCTACTGCAGCTTCTTTTTTGTATTTATCTTCTCTTTGTGCTACTTGATCTCCCAAAACTTTGATGTTACAAACCATTCATTGTCATCTAAGTGGTGGGTAATTTATCTTGTGGAACTTTGTCAGAACATGTTTGACCACCCAAAATCCTCCTCCTAGCTAGTAAGGCTACCTCCAGCTTCAGCAGGTTTCAGTATTTGCAGCCCAAATTATTGAGAGGGTGGGGAGGAGAGAGAGGCATAAGGCTAGCAGACCAAAGGCAGAGATTGTACTTCTTCCTGACAAATGCAAGGAGCTCTGAGAGATGAAATTGATGATGGTGGAGCAGCATGAAGCTCCTCGGGTCATTTTTCCAATGCTATTAACCTTCACCTACAGCGCCTGCCCTTAAGTGGTTAAACAGTAACCTGCAAAAGTAAAAAAGTTACAAAAGAGACAATATATGCTTCCCATCTAAAAAAAAAAATTCTGGGAGAGTGGCCAGGCCCATAAAATTGTTTTTAAATTTTATTTGGGAGGACAAATGAGGACATTACAACTCTCAAGCTGTGTAAAACACTGCACTTTAAAATGGACACCAGAGCCTACTACAGAATTTTGAATGCATAAAACGAAAGAACATTTTTGATAGCTTTAGAATTTAACTGTGTCACACAGCACAATTCGGCTATTTACAAGTTTCCACACTCTAAGTCATGTTATTAAGCTGTAATAGTCTTCTGGTACTCCAAATAATAAAACATTACATAGGGTCAAAGCTGAAAGGCTTAACAGAATTTCAGCCAAAAATCTAGTTTGCCTCCCTCTTCCCTAACATATGGTAATTTTCCACATAGCAAAATGGCAGACTCGCATATTTAAAATTTAATCTATGCAATTATGAAATTTCACTTTGTCCTCCCAAAAATTCCTTACTACTTTACAAAGCAGTGCTTCAGTGATTCAAAGCCAATATTCCCACACAAAACACAAGAGTACACTAGTGGAATCACTCCTCCTC